ATACCCCTAGCGATGCGTCTTCCACGCGACGCTGCGGATGGTGCGTGCACGAGTATGAACGTAAAATACAGGTAAGCGCGACCAGCAGTTGTGCTTAGACGAAAACAAAAAAGGCGGTCAGTACTTGCACGGCAAGCCTCAAAAACGGGGACGGGGGGCACCGCGACGGAGAAAAAAAAACGAGGATAATTTCCGAAGGAAGAAAGCAAAAGAACTAAATACATTCGCGAGAATGGACAAAACGTCATTCTCTTCAACTACAAAAACACATACTTCGTAAACTGCCTCAGAGCTAAAGATAGTTCAGTACAAAAATTATGTTATGGTCCTCACGTAATCGAGCACGTATCAACCACCTGTTGCGCATGTACCACACAACGAGCGAGGACGCGCGCAACAACACGCATGCGTGCACGGATGCAGACGCGTGCGTGTACCGCACGAGACACAAGGCATCGCATCCCCTGGACCGATTTTCAAATATCGACTACTTTCACAGCCAGGAAGGATGCCGAAATCAAATGATCATTGTACGTTTTTCGGGAAGCTCTCTCTCTCTCTCTCTCTCCCTCTCGACGAGAAGGTTCCAGCGCTGTCATTTTTCGGCGGCGTTGGCATCCCACAGCAATATCCACAGCAATATTGCAACATGTCGATGTGCGACCACGATCCTCTCCTACCTGCTGTTGGGGAGAGTGATCGAGCTTTGAAACGTCCAGGGAAGGGATGCGAAATGTCCAATATCTCTTCCTACGGTACGGAATGTAGATATACTTCTGCCTACGGTACGGTATGGATATACCTCTTCCTACGGTGCGGTATGTAGATATACCTCTTCCTACGGTACGGTATGTAGACATACCTCTTCCTACGGTACGTCATATTGATATACCTCGCTGAGCATCTTGACGGCGAGGGTGCTGCCGAGGCTGGTGACCGCGTGGCCGGGGGTGGTGGCGTCTGCGGCGATGAAGGCGGCGATGCTGTCTGTCGTACCGGCCACCACCGAGCACGTGGGTGGCAAGCTGAACCTCGACGCCATGCTGGCGGACACTGGCCCGACCACGGCTCCCGGCATCGCCACCTGAAGAGTCAGGCAGGCAGGCAGGCAGGCACGTAGGCAAGCCAGGCAGGCTGCTCGTTGTTGTCTTCGCCGAGAACGGAAAGGTCAATCTAGTTATAAATGATGCGTGCTGCCGTTCAGAACGCAACACCGCAACGCCAAGCGACTTCGCACTCGTGAGTTGTTTTCGGGATGTGTGGTACAAGCATCAGAAAACATAAATACCGCCTTGCTCACGATATGAATCTAAAACAGAGTGTCCCATACTGGCGACCGCACCTAAAGGTTGCTTTTGAGAAGTGTTCATCGGATCGAATTGAGCACGATAACAAGTCGACCTCAAGCGATCGTTCGCAACATACACGCTCTATTGAGTGACAACTCTACGGGCTACGGGAGACCATCACTTGAACATCCTAGAAATGACCCCCCTCCCCCCTCTGTCAAACCTATCTACAGTGCCCCTTCACCATCGGGTTGCCCTCTCTGCTCTCAGGACTCTACAACGTAGAACCGGACCCCTAAAGCCGTTCTTCCTCCGGACCCCCACCCTGAACCGTCAGTTCCCGGGGAACCCGGTGGTCTGCTCTGGGGTACACTCGATCTTGTCTTTTCATTCTATACAGGCTACCAAAAGCTTGAAGGTTCTGTCCCCAACGGAGGAACGACCCTCCGAACTTCGGAACGTTAGTTCTCGACAAGCGGGGTCGTATCTCAACCACTTCTAGAATACAAATCGAAACTATCGACGGATGTGTTTTGTCAAAACCGGCCAACAACCAGATCCCCTAAAAAAATCCTGCGACAACAACTCCTGGAAAGCATCTCATTGACATGCAAAAAAAAAAAATACAGTTTACAGTTTCATTAATGTATTTTCTTTTTGGTCCCTTGAGGTTTGCTGGGCTCTTCGAGTCAAAAACACGTCAGCCGTGTGAGCTGTGGGAAACGTCACACCGCAGCTGGCAGCCAGCTGTGTGCTAGTCCTGCTCTCTGCTTTACTCTCATCTTGCCATCATCCCTTGATCGCACTGCTATATTTCCATGAGGGCACTACGGAGGAATCTCCATAATACATACGTTTACATTCGAGTGCCATGCAATCAAGAGACAAGGCCGATCCCCACGTAAACCAAGGGGTAGAAGAAATAGCACCTCATTTTCTAACGAAGTAAATGACGAGCGTACCTCGGGAAGACAATGCCTTATCTCCTCGCCGAGCTTGCTCCCCAGCAACCACCCGGGCCATCGCAGCGTCTCCACGTCAAACCCCGCCTTGAGGGCGTTGTTCCAGTCAGAAACGATCGAACCCGGGCCCTGCTTGCGTGCACGAACGGTACATAGCATGACTTACGCTTACCGTGGAAGTTGACCCGCGTGCGACTAGCCTCCTTTCTGTGATCTACCCACCATACGGGGTAACCAATCTATCAAGGATCGCACCGAACGGAAGTGTAATCTACACAAACAAAAAAAGCTCAAGACAAGTCGAAGTTTTGCACCAGTGGTAGTTCCAATCGGTGACCGCTGATCAACAGCCCGAAACATAGGCCAATTGAATTGTTGCACGGGTCAGCGGTACGCAGTGGTCGGAGACGCGCTGTTGTTCCGTCACTGGCGTGGAATGCCGCGGCCGCCGAACAAAAAAAAATACCAAGGACCAAAAACAACAACGTGCTTGTTGGTGGCGGCAAACAACAACGCCACATGAAAAACAAAAAATACATACTAAATATCTGGAAATCGCCACAAACATCAGCAGAGCGCGTCAGCCGAGAGCACACCCGTTTTCTGCGTGTTTGTCGTTGCCTCAACACTTCCAAGTCGCAACAGCGTACCCCCCCTTCCCCCTCCGCCCCCCCTCCACGGTGACAGGGTTGCCGTCGGCAAGGTACTGCTGTACGGCTCTCGAACGAATGCTTTTCGACGCTGCCGCTTCGACTGAATATACGAAGGCACCTGCCCACTACATATGGTGCCATGCGTATACAGGAGAACCCAGAATGTCGTGGGGAGGCCTGGCGTCTTGAGCGGCCTCACACGGACAAGAGGGTGAGATTCCCCCTGTTGTGCATTCCTCGCCCCCCCCCCCCCCCCCCCCCCCCCCCCCCCCCCCCCCCCCCCCCCCCCCCCCCCCCCCCCCCCCCCCCCCCCCCCCCCCCC